TAGTGAATTGAATGTTGATATAACGTTTGGCAATAGCGAATTGAATAGTGTTATGGCACATTTCAAAGATGCGCAGCAATTCAATTTAGAAAGCATATTTGATTTATTTCTATATTCAATATCAATGAATTCACTCCTAGACTTCAAAAAAATTTTTGCAAGCATAGAACTCATTATTAAATAATCAGACTCTGAGCTGATTTTGTTATACAGGCATATTTCTTCTAAAAACCCGTGTTTTGGTTTAGTTATTTCGCTATTTAGAGTTATTAATCTTCTAAGATGGCCAATAATTTCCACAGTGTTTAGCAGAGATTGTTGATCAAAATTTAGTCGAGACTTAATTGACGAGTAGAGTGAATCTTTTACCAACTCCATTTTATGTTTTGTTGTCTCAATAAGTGTTGAAATGAAAGAGTTCTCTTCATTTTGCCAAACTTTGTTATATGAAATTGAAGCTTCTAGTAGCTTTATGGTTGATTCAAAATATTCAAGTGTGTCCAAAGCATCATCTGTCATATTTGCAGAAACAAAGCTTTCAATAAGTTTTGGTAATTCTATTAGTTCAACTATAAGTTTTAAAATATTTCTCAAAATAGTTAGCTTCCTAAATTGAGATAGTTTTTGTAGTAATATCGATTGGCTTGAATTAGATTTCTGAGTAACTATTGAAAAAAAATGATTGATTGTTACGTTTGCTCTCTTTTCGAAACCGATGAATTTTTTTCTAATTTCTGTAACAACTTGTTTATTTCTTTTTATAAGTTTTGTTGAATTATACAATGTGGATCTTTGGACAGAGCTTCTTAATTTTTGTAGCTCTAAATCTAGGGACCTATACTCTGATAGAAGTTTATTCGGGTATTCCGATGCCAATAATGGTAATAAGTAGCTTTGATTGTTAGAGGTGATTTCATCTTGAAGAGCACAATTAATACTCGAATTTACTCCTTTATATGGAGAACTTTGTTTTAAATATTGAAATCTTACATCCTTCTTTGGTATTTTATCTTCATTAAAACCCCCACGCTTTAAGTTATTTTGTAATAGGGATATTAATTCAATATCATACTCATGCATTGCTTTATTTGGGGAAAAAAAAAAAAACTGATTTATTCTACCGCTTTTCTGATAATACTTGAAAATTGGAACTTAAATATGTTTGAATTGGAAAAATTATTAGCAAGTTATAGCCATCCAATTTTAAGAGAAAGGATAGAATATTTCGGAAGATTTCAACAGGATATTTTAGATAGTAATTACCCCAATATTGCATCATTCAACCTTTTAGAACAGGGAAATGAAACCATTTTTGACTACGATGGCTTCGTTTATAAATTATACCTTTCTTTTGCGAGTAATACAGAAGTAAACAAGAAAAACAATACATCAGAAAACAAGGAAAATGATCTGAAGATTGTGCCATTAAAAGATATACGCAGAGAATCTTCTAAACATTTAAATTTAGTTATAGAGGTTTACAATACTCATATTAGGCAGCTTTGGAATGACGCAAAACAACTTATTGAACATTATAAGAGCATTATTAGTAATGCTATTGAAATTTATGAGTCTCACAACTTGGATAACTGTTTAATTATTTATTTGCCGAACAATGCAATATCTGAAATATTTTCCGATTTAAATAATCGGAATGCGACAAAAAGCGCAGCTTTTGAAATGATTACCTCTTCAATAAAAAGTTGTCTTTATTGCGGTAGCGTATTGAATACTATAAGATATATATCATTCTATTGTTTTTTGGATAACAAAACTATTTCAGAAGATATTGGTATTCAAGGTTTTTCCCTAATTTACATTACTTTACTTTCAAATAAGAAAATATATGCATTTTACCCCGATTCAAAAAATAAATATAAATTTGCAATACTAGCAATCGAGTTTTTAGATAAATTAATTAAAAGTAATATATTAACTAGCAACTTTATTCAAGAATTATCAATTGCAATAAACCAAAGTGAGATTTCTATTTTTAAAAATATGCTTGATTCGAATGCAATATCAATATCATATTCAAGCTCGCTGCCAAAAAGTGCCAATGAAATTCTTTATAATCAAAAATCAGACAGTTCATCTGGTGAGAAATCGTTTATGATATTTTGCATCCCGATTTCTTGGTTAGACTCAACAGACGACTATATCAAATTATACTTCGCTGGGCTCATTACGTTGATAAATAACATATTGCTGCAAATGATCCCACAGTGCAAAAGCACGATTAGATGTGGATTAAGGAAATTTGTGCTCGAATTAACTAGCCAGGAATGCGAGGGTTGCTAATACACTTTTGTACCAGTTTTAAGCTTTATTAATTTCGTAGCGCCTTAATTACCACATTATTAAGCGCCTACGAAGAATTTGTGCTGAAGCTATTTTATGAGTACCTACTAAACAAAACTTTACGTAAACAGTAATTGTTATTCGTAACACTTGAAATCAAATAACAATATATACTCGGGACAATGGGCGGATCAGATTTCCCTATTGGGCCAAAACTTCGTATTAGACTGAAGGCAGAAAATTCTGAAACAGAAATTGGTCTTAAACACAAAAAAAGAAAAAAATATGTTTCATTTAATAACGGGGGCATTGAAGCTGCATCGGAAGATTCCAAAGTATCTCTTTTAATTGAGTGTAATCCGCCTTCTTTACGCAGAGTAGAATTCGCAGAAGTTTTGAACATTAAATTGAATCAGAACATTGATAATAAAGAAGATACAGTTGATCTAATGTCAGACGAATCGGTTGAAAATGAAGATACATTGGATTATCTTGATAACCTTGAGATGGAGGCAAAACGAATAATTGAGAAAAACGGTTTGAAAAACAAATTTGATGGCCATATCTCAAAACAAACCGTAGAAAATAAAGACTTTAAAAATAATACCTTAAACTTATCTGATAACGATTTGCCTATTGTTGGCAATGTTGAATGCGATGAAGAAATCAAAACTAGCAATATCATTCAAGAAACTAGAAACCAAATAACTACAAATAACCGAGTTTCTTCCCCTATATATAGTAATTTATCACAAATAAACAACCAAAGTAGTCTTCCTCCACAGCCTATCCAGATTGCCCCGAATGTTGTCCAGCAACCACTGAAAACATTTGCTAATTCTCTTTTACTTTCAAAAGAAAAATTTTCCACAAGGTCATTTACTCCATTGGATCCAAACTTGAACTCCAGGCTCCTATTAAAAGTTCAACTTCCAGAATCCATAAATCAACTATATTCTTTGGAAGGTATTACGCACGAAGACATAAAGCAAAACCCTGAAACCGATGAAACCGATGAAACTGACAAAAAAATACCAGTAGTGATTCCAACTTGTTCTGAGTGGTTTGATATGGATTCTGTACATCCTATTGAACTTGAGATGCTTTCTCCAATATTTAACAATGAGATGATTGATTTGAGGATCGATGAAAAACAGGATTACAAAGCAGAAATGAGTGGTAATGGTAATAGTAACTTTTTAGAAGAAAAAGTGTCTTCACTAAATGATGAAAAAATTAATGAATATAAACTGATTCGGAATAAAATTATTGAAATATATAGGGAAACTCCTAGACAATACCTCACTGTTACAGAATGTAGGAGACGTATTATATATACAGGAGATGTCTCCTTTTTACTTAAATTGCATGCTTATCTCGAATTTTGGGGTTTGATAAATTTCCAAGCAGACATTAAGACGCTTCCCCCAAAATTAAGAAAACTTCGTGACTATAGACTTAATGATATAGATATCAAACGTTCTAACAATAAAAGCACGCTAAACATTTCTCGTATAAATGATGAAGCAATAGATAACCCATTCATAAACTCAATGTTAGTGAATTGCGTTTCATGTGGAAAGTCGTGTATATATTCATATTATATTCTTAGAGCTGGTGTTGTTTGTGGAGTTTCAGTGGCAGTTTTAGATCGCTGTGTTTGGTGTATTAGGTGCTATTCAGAAGGGAGATATCCACCTATTTTAAACTCTGGGCACTTTATTAAAGTGGATGCTCCTGTTGTATCATCACTGACCAATCCTGAAGAAATTCCCAGGATGGGAGCCTTAGGTATAGCCTCCTGGACTAAAGAGGAAGTGCAAAAGCTTATTGAAGGGATTGAATATTACGGTGATGATTGGGATGCCATATCTTACCATATTGGGAATGTTAAGACGCCTCAAGAGTGTGTTGCGTACTTCATTCAACTGCCAATAGAGGAACCCTTCATGAGAAACATTAACCCATCAAAAAACACGAAGCCCTCATTTCCATTTATGGATGTGAGCAATCCTCTAATGACACAAATTGCATTAATAGCGTCAACAATAAACCCCGTGGTCGCTGCATCTGCCGCTAAATCTGCGTTAGATAGAATATTAGAAATTGAGGGTTATAAAGAAATTTCTAAAGATGCTTCACTCATGCCCGATAAAGATGCTCATTTGGGAGACGAAGCTGCGGGAAGTTGTAATGCTAACGCCCATTTTGATTCTAAGGATGGCCAATATTTACCGCAATACATACCAAAAGTTTCTTCAGCGAAGTGGCCGAGCTCAGCACTACTGGGAGAAGAGGGAATTCAACAAGTTTGTTCAAAGGCACTAGAAAACGCTGCTCTTAGAGCAAAAGAACTTGCTGAATGGGAGAGAAATGAGGTTAAAAATATAATGCCCTACTTGATTGACAACACGATCAATCGATTAGAACTAAAACTGAGACAGTTTAGGCATTTGCAATCTATGATAGATGAAGAAAGAAATTTGTTGGAAGTAAGACTTGAAAAGATAAAGAAAGAGGACAATGAAATTAAATCTAAACTTAGTAATGCTAAGGGCCAAGTTATTTCGAAACAAACTTTAAGACTATAAAAATAAATTAATATAATACTCTTGTTCCCCACCGGATCTGTTTGTATTGGGTTTGATAGTTTCAGAATATTTGTATTTGACCATTGTTTGGTGGTCGGCCTCTGTGAAGCGTAGATGCCCGAGTCGGTCTAAGGGGCCAGACTTAAGATCTGGTGTACACATGTACTCCAGGGTTCGAATCCCTGTCTACGCATTTTTTCGGAAAGCCTAATTTTACCTTTCCCGCATAGAATAGTTAAAGTTGTCTAAGGTGGATAAATGATCTAAATAGCGTTTCTAAATGTTCTCGTTAAAGGAGAGTAAAAATCCTTATTACTTTTGTAATGTGGGAGTTTTTGTGCATTTCCTTTATTAAATGCAGCATTGCCTATTTTATCCTTGCCTTTAAGATTCGAGTATTTTTCCAAAGTTGGAAAATCAGAATCTGTGGCTCTCGCTGAATTTTGACTGTTTTTCTCTATATTTGAACAGCTATTTGCATGATTCAAATTTATCATTTCATAACCTGTTGAACTGTGGTTTATCTCGTCATAAAGCAAATTAATATAATTCATATCTTTGATTGTTTTTCTCTTATTTACTCTTTTTTCTAATTCAGCATTAAATATTTCTTTTGTTTTCGTTGAAATATACGGTAATACATTTATGCCTACAATATAAACCTTAGATCCCATAGGAATATGACTCAAAAACTTATATTTTCTGATATTTTGATGATTTATAATAAACTCTTTTATTGATGTAACTGAAACATTTAATAGTGCCTTAGGTAAATTTTCGATTGAACCAAATTCAGTCTGAAGCACTTTAACATAAAACGGCTCCAAGTACACTAATTGGCCATCAAATGACTGGTAGAAATAAAATATATCTTTCATATTATATTGATTGCTATAATTAGCTGAAGAGTTAATGAATCTATATTCTAGTTCTTCTAAAAGTTCAGTTTCTCCGTAATGTGATAATAGCATATCAAAAGCATCGTTTGAAAATCTTTCGCATCTGGGAGTAACTCCTTTTAATTTAAATATATTTTCTATTATTGAGATACATTCTTCAATGTAGCCAATTTCTTCGTCTGAGCCGCTTCTCTCATTCTCTAGCTTTCTCATTCTTAGCATTTGAAGATCATGTAATAATATTTCATTTTGGTCGGAAATTAATCCGATTCTTTGGAACTGAGCACCCTTTTCGTTTTTTTCCAGCAAAACTTTCCCATCTGAACTTTTCATATTGAGTTCAAAATGAATAAGCGGACTTGAAACATTTCTGTAAAGAAGGCATAGATTAATTTCTGAGCCTATTTGGACTTTTTTAACTATTTGATATCTTAATGAAACAAGCTCATTTAGCAATACATTCGAGAAACATATTGGGCATTTAAATTTTTTCGCATATTCATCGTTTTCTAAAATAATATTCATAAGTTTTATTATGCAAGGCCAACAATATATGTGTCCACAATTTGATATTTTTGGAACCAGCAAGTCTGAATCAAGGCAGATTGGGCATTTAATAAATTCGTCACTATCAAAGTATATTAATTCAATTAACCCTACATTTCTCCAATCAAATATCATTTTATCATGTGAGAACACTGAGGTATTTCTATTTATATTGGAATCTTTCAACAAAAATATTCTGCAATTTTGCTGAACAAACTTGAATTTACTTGAAATGGAAAGTGGTCCCTTCTTAGAAATTAAACTCATATTGTAAAAAAATATCTGTCTATTGATCAAAAAACCTCCTCATTCTTTATTTAAATACACGACTAAATTATTGTGATAATTAATTTCCTAAACAAGTAATCTTTGATTTTCTTTTGTTTTGCATTGTTACTTTGGCGGTTTAGGAATATTACACCTTTTTTTCAATAAATCTTTATTTATACTCGAGAATCTGTACATATGTAAATTTGATAAATATAAAAGCATTGCCTTTCCAGAATGATGAATACCAATGGGTTAAGACAAAATAGTCTTGTTCAAGGAAAAAAAGAGAATCTATCTGATATATTGGGTTCTATTAATGGGAATAAAGTTTGTGCCGATTGCGGTGCTAAAACACCTAGATGGGCATCCATAAATCTTGGAATTCTAATATGTATTGATTGTAGTGGGGTGCATCGTCATCTCGGTGTTCATATATCAAAGGTTAAGAGCATTTCTTTAGATAAGTGGAATAGTGATTGGATAAAAAGATGTATGAAAATAGGCAACTATATTTCGAATAAGTACTATGAACATAAGCTTCCCACTGGGTTTCAACGCCCAAGCTGGAGTAGCCAGCAACACTCTATTGTGGAGCAATGGATTAGGGATAAATATGAATTTAAACTATATACCCCAGATAATATGATTCCGCCTTCATTACAAATTGATAGCATGGAAACTACAGTACCTAACGAAAAAACGGTATTGAAAAATTTTGAAGATTTTAATAAACCTCAAAAATATAATAATATGGTCTCCAGTAATTTGTTAGAAATCGAATTAGAAAGCAAAGAATCATCAAGCAAGGTTGAAAAAATTATTGATCTAAAGTCCAATCAATTGGGAAGCGAAACTGCAAACTCGAGTTTGAAAAACAAGCACAACCTTGAAAATCAAGCTGAGAGAGCGCTTGAAAGAGTTAGTTCATTTGAAAATTCTGAAGTAATAAAAATCAAAACTGTAAAAGAAGCTATTGAGAAGATGTATGAAAATAGCGTTGAATCGCCGCCTTCACTAAATAACTTTAATAAAGTATTAAATACAAGTATAGGAAGCATTGAGAAATCCACAAGTTCTGAAAAAATTAGAAAGATTGGTTTTGATCTAAGTGATAAATTGTCTAAAACTGAATTCAAAATTGAAGAAAATAAGAGTCAATGTATTGTTGAAAACTCTAAAAAGCCATGCCCCTTCAGTTCTATTGACGCATTTTCCATTATTAAAGAATCATTTTCTAGGTAATTTAGTTATTAATTTTTGTTGATTTAATATTTACCTTTAAATTTGCTCCTAGTTAATGCGTTTTTTTATTGCTACTGAACCCCATATTTTTTCGCCGCTGAACTCGATTCAGTTTAAAATAAGTCGATATTTTCTGGAAGTTATGAAAGCAATAATTTTGTCAGGTGGTTATGGCTCTAGGCTCCGTCCATTAACGCTTACAAAACCCAAATCAATTGTTGAGCTATGTAACATCCCAATCATAGAATTCCAGATTGCACAATTTGCTAGTATTGGGATAACAGAAATAATTGTAGCACTTAATTACAAGGCCAATGAACTCATTCCCACACTAAAAATAATTGAAGATAGATATGCTGTAAAAGTTCATTTGAGTATTGAGGAAAAGCCATTGGGTACTGCAGGACCAATTAAATTAGCACAAGACTTTCTAAAAGAAGACGAACCTTTTTTTGTTTGTAATTCAGATATAATATGTAATTTTCCATTAAGAGAAATGCTTGATCTTTATCACAAGAAAAACTCTGACTCGGAATGTAATGGCGTTATTCTTATAAAGCAAGTCTCTGATCCTTCAAAATTTGGAGTAGTTTTGCATGATGAAAATACGCTCATCGTAGAAAAATTTATTGAAAAACCTAAGGATTTTGTTGGTGATTTCATTAATGCAGGAATTTATATTTTGTCAAAAAGAATACTTGATCTGATTAAACCTAATCAACAAGTTTCAATTGAAAAGGATGTATTCCCTATCATGGCATCATCAAATACACTTTATTGCAATAAGTTCTTCACAAACAATGACAATATATGGGCAGATATAGGAAATCCAAAAGACTTCTTATTAGGAAGTAAGTTATTTATGGAATTCCTTAAATCAAATTCAATAACAGGGCATTTGTGCAATGATAAGCATAGTTCTAAGACAGAATTGCTTAGAAAGCTCCTAAATGAAAATAAACTCGAATTATCTTTCGAAACACCAGAACTTAGAATAATAGGAAATGTGATTGTTCATCCCACATCCTCAATAGGAAAGGATTGTAGTATTGGTCCTAATGTTGTTATCGGGAAAAATTGTAAAATTGGAGATGGAGTAAGGTTAAAGGATTGCGTGATATTTGACAATACAAATATTAACAGTTATTCAATTATTTCCGGCTCAATTATTGGGTGTTATTGCAATATTGGGAAGTGGACACGCATAGACGGATTGTCTGTATTTGGCGATGATGTAAATATTCAGGACGAGTTGTTTATCAACTCATCGACGATATTGCCCAACAAAAGTGTGACTACATCTATTAATACTCCAAACACAATTTGTTTATGATATGACATTTTTGCTATTAGATTATTAATTTGCATAGTTGCGTATTAATTCATTATTGATGTATAACAATCCCCACATTAATTCTTTATTGTTTACATGGTACTTGTCTCAAATGCGGCAAGCATAGGATTTCATTTAATTGTTTATTTGAGGGACATTCTAGTTTACAACAAATACTTTTTTCGGATATATGAATAAAAAGACTGATGAAACATGATTTTGCTTTATGTTCTGTCTTTTTTGTTTTCTACGTTCGTTAGCTTTCCCTGTGCTTCATCGAAAGTCATACTGGATCCTTTGCAGCATGATGTCCAGATACTAACAGCACCAAATTTCGAAAGCTTGTTGTCAAAGTACCGCAAAAGTGGTGTTACTTCTGTCTTCTTCTATAATGGTGATGATAAGGTAGCTGTGAGCGAGCTTCTAGGATGGTATAATGATGCAGCAAGAGAATTGAAGGGTATGGCTAAGGTTGCAGCAATTAATTGCAAAGAATTTAAACAATTTTGCAGCAAAATAGGTAATAGTGGTAAAATAATCATTTATCCAGTTATCCCCATTCCAACATTTGAATTTAATGGTGAAAAAAGCGTAAGGAACCTTAAGAACCAACTTTTGAGATACATTCCCAGAGATAACGTTTCAGTGATTGGAGTTCCAAATCAAGAAAGCTCTAAAGTTATCAAAATTGAGGACTTCCTCACAAGACACATTTCTGTTCCAAAAGTACTCGTTTTTAGCGAAAAGGAAATACCTCCAACAATTATTCACTCTCTTGCAAACGAGTTCAATAAAAAGCTTTTGTTCGGTTTCATTCCAAACTGTAAGAAGAACGATGTCTCGATAGGAATTACAAAAAAATTTCAAATTTCGAGCTTCCCAACTATTATGGTATATAAAACA